TATTGATTTATATCAAATTTTTATGCATGCTAAATTTTTATTTTTTATTTTTCTTCTTTAGTCTCGTCTTAATTATTATTTCAGATATTGTTAGCACTAAAGCTCGGGGAAAATACCAGGGCATTGTTGGCGCATGCTTTGGTGTTGCTTCCGTTGCAGGCCCTCTATTGGGTGGCGCTTTTACTGATCATGTCAGTTGGAGGTACGCATGTAAAGAGTGGTTACCTTATTGGTGCCAAAACTCTAATCATATTATTATTGTTTTATATTATTCAATCTTAAAACTCACCAAATTTATTTTCCCAAAAACATAGATGGTGTTTCTTCATCAATCTTCCTTTAGGTGCAATAACAATAATCGCTGTAGTTAGGTTTCTTCACTTACCAAAACCACCCGGTTCATTTCTTGACAAAATTAAGAGAGTTGATATTATCGGGACCATTGTTATGATCTCATCAACTGTTTGTATCTTATTATCTCTCAATTGGGGTGGCAGCACTTATCCTTGGAATAGTCCCGTGATTATAGTACTTTTATGTGTCGGCGCATTTGGTTACATAATATTCGGTCTTGTTGAGAGTTATATTGTTGCTGAACCTGTTGCTCCACGTAAGTATTCATAACTTGATTTATTTGCAATAATTATTATAATTAATAATCTATTATAATATTGGTACTAAAATTTTTCTTTCTTTTTGTTTAATAGCACGTTTATTTAAAATTCTTAATGTAGTCTCATGTTTCATCACAAGCTTTTTCCAAGGAATGGTATTTTTTAGTTATATTTTTTATGCACCACTTTACTTTCAAGTTGTAAAAGATGATTCAGGCAAGTATATATATCAATTACATCTTATATTCCTCGTTAAACATCAAATAAATTTAACAATATATATGTTTTTTTTTTTTAAACAGCTACACAATCCGGAATAGATTTCATGCCTTACATTCTTGGTGTGGTAGCTTTCTCAATCCTATCCGGTCAACTATTCTCTCGAACAGACAAAATACAGTTTCGATTAGTGACTCTAATTGCTTCGGCATTGACAATAATTGGTGCCGGATTAACCACTATGTGGAAGGAAAATACTGGATATGGTGAATTTATAGGATACATGTTAATTGGTGGTGCTGGAATTGGCATGGGTATTCAATCTATTATATTATGCGTTCAGGGATTGGTTGAGCCGAAGGATGTAGCTTCGGTTACTACACTAGCATTATTCTTTAGGAGTAGTAAGTATTAAAATAAAAAAGTTTGGTTTTTTAGCAAACTCATTAAATTGTTTTGCTAATTCATTATCTATATTTTTTCTTTTTAGTTGGGGCTGTTTTTGGAATTGCAATATCAGGAACAGCATTCAATAATAAGCTTTCTCAAGAATTAAGTACTTTAACTTTACCTCCATCCTTTTCAACACAATCCGTATATACTATACAATCATTACCACCAGATACACGGTCATTGGTCATTCACGCTTATGTGTTAGCATTTCAATTCACCTTTTTGCTTACCATACTATATGGTGCATTAATGTTTATTTCAGCGTTGTTTATGGGAAATAGTAAACCGATACATAAGAGTAATGGGGAAAAAGTGATTACTGCATTTGAATAATTTAATTATTTAACAAAATATGTAATGTAATTAAAAATTTTTAGAGAAATGATTTTTGTGCATCGATTTCATGTAATATCACGTACATCAATTTTTTTTTGACCAACAAAATCAAATAATTTATTGACATCTAAAATGAACGAAAAACATGACCAATGTTACCGAACCAATTTCGATTTCCTCATTTGGGGATCGGTTAAAGGCATAAAAAAATTCTGTGCCAGGTTTGTGGTGCAGGCAAATTTTTAAAGCTCATTAATGTTAGGGTTAGCGTTTAGAATAGTGTTAGAGATTAGGCGATTATATAGTAAAATCGCACAAGAAAAACTTTTTGTTAGAGCACTAAAGGTGGTTTTTTATACAGATTTTGAGAAATAAACGATTTTGACAAAACCAACGTTTGTTTGAAAATTTTTTCATGCCGGTTAAATAAAGCCAGTATAAACTTGACAATGATCTACATGCTACATAAATTATATTCTTGATATTTATCTAAACCAATAACCATTACTGCATCAAAAAAGTAATTCCACCGCACCTTGCTTTAGCAATCCCCTTATTTCGAAATTTGCTATTTGTATCAATTGAAAAATTAGTAAAATTAAACAGCAATGTTACACATATATTAAAACTGGTGAGGGATTATATCCATCACAATTGAATCCAATATAAATAATTTAATTTGTGATTAATCACAGTAGAGAGGGATTCACTCCGGATCGGGCACTGTCTCTGCTGTTGTAAAAATATCATGGTAACTACCTAATCAAATCTGATGAATTTTTTTCTATTTGAATTCTACGAGTCCATAAAATTCAAATAAATAAATTTTCATCGAATTTGGTCGGGTGGCTGTCAATATAACTTTGTTCAAATTAAAAATAAAATCAATCCGTCTATCAAAACAGAAGCTGCGTCAAATTTTTATGAAACTTTGAGTGAGGTTATCTCGAAAAACCTGGAGAAAATTTTTTTTTATGAATCCATGAATTCAAATTAAAAGTTTTCATCAAATTTGTTCAAGTGGCTGTCATGATGTCTTGAATAATCAAATGAAATGTTACGCAGTATGTAAGGTTGATATACCTAATTTGGCGCAGGTAAGTTTTACGAACTACCGCAGGATTGCTAATAAAATTTTCACAGCAAACCAATACCAGGAACGGAGTGATATTGAAAATTTCACGGAGTGTATGGTTTTATTGCAAATTAAATGATGTTCGTACGTACGCAAAATCTTGCATATAATTGGATATATGCACATGGCGGAGCAAGGGTGTGAATGCATATTGAAACTTCGCATGTTACATCTTCGCATCCAAAGTAACGCTCCTGTATTTTGTGTCGCATGAGATTGTTAGTCTAACTTTTAATGTGCAATACCTGATTCAAGTAATTTATTTTCTCATGGTCATCGCTTAATTGCTGATCTTGATTGCCGTTATACCATTCTGTATATAGAATTAGATCCTGATTCTGAAGATCCGATTTCTATTTCTGTATCATTGATTTTGATCTAC